ACTAAGTAATTGTAAAAGCTTTAGGATTTCGTAACATTATAAATACTGTGAATATACCGAGCAAATTTGGGTTACTCAATTATTTTTATCTCCAAGATAAATCTTTACGGTTTTCGCTAATTCACTATAACTATAGTGGTGCCAATACAACAATAAAGCATTATACAATGGATCCATTACACAAAGTTCAATCAATTAAAGCAAACTCAAGAGGTTGGTATGCAGGATGAAACTCTAAATTACACACCATTTACAAGACATAAAAACACACACAAATAATTAACAACACATTTTGAAACAGCATGTTGATGGCTTCCTCGTATTGATGAAAGGGAAAAATGGGACAAACACTTGAAGTTGGAGAAGGAAAATGGGGATGCTATATTTCAAGTTGACAATTTTGAGTTTTCAGCATATCAAATAACTTTTAGTTCAAATACACAACAATGGCATAAAAGTTTAGTGGCTAGGGTTTCAATTATTAAAGGAAAATATGAAATTTTATTAAATTTTCGAACTTCATATAGGAAGAAATTCCTGCAAATCTAGATTGAAATTTGAAGAAAACAAAGAGGATAAAGTGATGAAATGGTTTAGAGTGTTATTATAATGGTTAGACTTTCCTATTTTAGTGGATACGTCACGGGTGAAACATTTAATAAATTTGAATATTGTACATGAAATAGTTAATATCCAAATAGGTGATCAATAAAATTGTAAAAGCATTCATTGTCAAATTCTAAGGACGAAGACAACTCAACATTTCATGCTTACACAAAATACACTGAAATCGACTACCATTTCATTGCCGAACAGTTTTCCATTGGAGCCTTGACTACAAAATACATTCTTTTAAGTCCCCAGATCGCGGATATACTCACAAAGGCCTTAACGAAGCTTTCATTACGTCTTTTCGAAGACAAGCTATGAATATATTCTACTATTCCCTCTAGTTTAAAATATGTAAAAAGGAAGGTCATCAAATGATCAATGAAGGTCCCACTGGCAGCAGACCAAGCCTTGGTGGACGACAATTTCGGGGCGGTTCCGATCAGAAATGATGACGTGATAGTGATAAGCTCGGACGACGACGATGACAATGACAATGTTATGTCCTTTTTGTCGGTTGTGGAGGACATGTAAAAGGTTCGATCGTATATCTAAAATATCTAAGCATATCTAATGACATATTTATAGGTATATGGATAATGGATAATTTTTGTGATGACGACCAATTTGTATGTGCAGTGACCTCAAACATGCACATAGTGGTCTTCTACTTTTGTTGTGACGACTATTTAATATGGTCAGTGACATAAAAAAATGAGTCATGCATGGCTTTCTTTTGTATCCATTACCAAGTTGTGTGTATAATAACTAAGACAATTGCATTGCTGAAGCAGTTATTAACCTTTGTTTTTATGAAATTACGTGGTAATAAAATTGAACCCTATCGATGACAATCAGAAACGAAATGATAGAAAGCATGTAATGCTCATAAATCTATTGAACACGTAGATAATATATGTTAGCGAATTATTTCATACACAAAATCGAACCCTACCAATTACATTTGGAAAGAAAATGATAGAAACCATGAAATGTATAAAAATCTATTGAACACATGGATAGTCCATGTCACCAAATGATTTCATACGCAAAATACACTGGCAATTCAAGTGCGCGTGTTACTTCTTCGTGTCGAGTTCCTACATGTTTGCCTATTGTGTCCAGAACCACCACATTGGCCACATTTTCGGGTGCTAGTAGACCATTCAGTTCTTGACCTTCTACATTGGGTAGGAGGGCAACCTGGTGCTATACGTATATTTGGAGGTAAAATGTTGATGGAACTAATAGCATCAGGAACAATCCAATCTGACTCCATTCCAATGGGGTAAAGAAGTTCGGTGTAGGAAGCTTGCCAACACTCTGTGGTGTAGTAACAGGAGCACAAGTCGTACAGTGATATACCTTTTGAGCACACAGCGCGGGACGCATGTGCACATGGAATTTGTCGCATCTGAAACTCTCGACATAAACATGTTTTACCTACAAGGTCGATAGTACACATTTCTGCACCTGTGCCAACCTCGAAAACGAGTTCATCCAAATTTCGTATCTCCAAGGCTGCACCAGCGTCAAAAGATTGTCTCAATTCCCTCTCCATTTTTTATGTCACGGCATTATGACAGTTAATAGATGCATTTCTCCGCTCGAAGAACCATTGTTGCATCAATGTCGTAATGTGTTGAACGAATGAGGTTATAGGGAAACTTCATTGCCGCCTGAGGACTGAATTCAATGACTCTGCAATGTTATTAATCATGACATTGTACCGATTACCAACAAAATTTGCTAGTGACCAAGTAGATGGACTAGCACATTCCAAATAAGATGCAACTGTTGGTCGAATGGTCCGAATATGTCTCATCATTTGCTAGAATTCTGATACGCGGTATGCCAGTATTGTACTTTTGAAAAGGAATATGACATTTCGACTAATATACCTAGCAATGAGATTTTTTCTCGATATGCCATATGCAGGTACCGTGGTGTGAAAGTGGGAAAAGCATCGTAATTGCTCGTTAATGCTGTTCTTCCTGTCGGATACAAACACTAGCTGATTTGAATCATCAACAATATCTTTTAACTTCGTGAAGAACCAATACCATGATGCATTTGTTTCCCCATCGACAACACCCCAAGCAACGGGATATATTTGCATGTTGGCATCTTGCGCTACAACTACTAGTAGTATTTCCTTATCCGACCCTTCAAATGACTCCCATCAATGCAAATTACCGGCCTCATGGGCTCAGAAAATCATGTATGCTTGGCCCAAATGTTAAGAAAAAGTATAAGAACCTATTATTGGGGTCGAGCTCAACGTGTGCGACGGCTTGTGGGTTTCGCTCAATTAACACGTGATAGCATAAAGGCAATTTCTGATAACTCTCTTTAGGTGAATCGTGAAGAATTCGAAGTCCCTTCTCTTTACCCCGCCACGCTTTATTGTAGCTAATTCGTACACCGAACTCACATTGTATATCCCCGACAATGCCCGCAGGAATGTATGGTTGGTTTCCATCGGGCCATCGTCCGGTAATGTGATGCCCAATTAGTGCACTAGTTGCATGAATTTGCGCATTTCGTCGAACGTCCAAAGAACATGTGTGCTCAGGTATGTACCTTCGAATCTTAAAGAAGTCTGTACTTTTTATCTTGGAGGCTCGCAGTAGGCAATGACACGTGGTGTCCACGCAGCACACAGGAAGAGATCTGAGATTAGACTTTTTAACCTTGAAATGAAATTTCTCTGTAAAAGCATTTAATCGAAGTCTTGTGTGCAGCTGTTTCTTGGTAAAGAATATCTGATTCTCGTGAATTTCCTACTGATCGATCGACTGAATTGTATTTTCAATATACAAATTCTCTTCACCTAAACCTATACCCATGTTATCAATCATTTCTGGCTCTTGTAGTTTGCATACACTGACTGCGTCGTGTGCATCTTCTATTGGAAAGGATGTGTCATCCCTGACGTGTAGTTCTTGCTCTTCAGCATCATATTCATCTGCATTTACACACAAAACTGCTTGTGTGTGAATAGAAATATACCATTGCAAAGCCTCATCGTCGGCTACATAGAAGGGAGTACGTTCATGTTTAGAACTTTAAATTTTAGTTGAATCCGAAACTGCATTCTGTCATTATTAAGCTTCTTAAATAATTTATGTACAAACTCTTCATATTCAATATCACGTCAGAAAACAATTGATATTGTTCGGTTGCCAAACCACTTCCACTCGTCGTCAATATTGACGAATGTACCACCATAGGAGACGACAAATCTCATAACATCAACCATATCTGCATGGCATAAACAAAAAATAGTATCAACTAATAACGAATATTTCAAACGAATATGCTAATTATCCGCAAGCAATATGCAAAAAATGTTCCCTAATTTCGTTATGGTATTTGTAATGTTACTCTCGACATTGTTAAATGACGAGAATGGCATTAAAAGTAACATTCTTGACGTTTGTAATTGTAGAGAACAACATTTCAAGTATCATTCTCGACGTCTATAAAATGTCAAGAGTGACATGACAGATTTCACTTCACCATATGCATTTATCATCTTCTTCATCTTCAACTACCATTTTTATAAATAATTTATGCTATAATTAATGATATTTTAACTACAAGTGTACTTTCAATTATTATGTAACTAAGTAATGTAAGAACGTTATGACAACTATCTACTAATTTTGACAATCTACCATGTTGAAATCAAATATATAACGACGACTAAGACAAACCACTTCTCAATAAACATCAAATAACAAAGAAAAATACCTTCTACCTAGAAATGAGGAGAGCCTACTTGGCTTCAAATTTATAAGACAGTAAATTTATCGTCATAAACAAATTATTTCTTCTTTTGAAGTACAAATCATAGATTTCTTTCTGGTTGTTAATGCTTGCTATTTCAGGTTTTTCAATTTTCTTAAAATAATCTGTTAATATCTAAAGAAAAGTGTAGACAACTGGATGAGTATGGGTAATAGCAATAATTATTGTGGCTTTTCATAGAAACCATTGCTCTTACCGATATTAGTGTCAACTTGCAAAAGAAAAGTTGAGAATTATTTATTCTTTCATTAAGGGTAAAATAGAGAATTTGATGTCAAATTTGGCCATTTTTGTAAAGATTATCAAAAGTGGACATTTTAGAATTGAGATATATAAAATTGGACATTTTTACAAATGCCTCATAATTTTATGACGTGATTTCGTGTGGGCCCCCCTCATTTGAGAGGGTATACAACTTGACACAAGAGTGCACAGCAAGCAAAGTCCTGTAATTTTGAAAGTAACCGTGGACCCGTACTTTCACATCCTAACCTCATCACGTGCAACTTGCTTGTGGCATGAATCACGCGTCGGAGAAACACGAAATATGAAATATGAAATCTCTTTGAATTTTCCCACGAATCAAATTCCACGCTCTTTTCCTTCCATTAAATTTCGGCCCTTTTTCCTGGACCAAATAAAACGAACAAACTCACAAACATACCTATCTCTGCAGCGATTCATCCAACCATTACTGCACCAAGGGTTCGTTTTTCGAGGTCCTTTGCAATTCGATTCTTCTCTCTCCATTAGATATATGTGTTTGTGTATGTATAATTTTATAATAATTACAGCGATTCAAGGTTCTTCAATATCCGCAATCTTATCCTACGCCCCAGAATATGTGATTATCGAAAACTCTAATTTTTGTCCCTTTGGGTCATTTTCTGATTGTATTGATCTGAAGGTTTCTATTTTGAACTGGAACTAAAGAGTTTTCAAAGGAAGAGTGGGTTTGATTGATTTGAGCTACATGGAAAGTGGGCTGGCGAAAAGGGGTTTGGATCTTACTCTCAAAAAGAAAAAATGGATTATCTTACTTGGATTAATGGGATTTTCAAGTTATGGTGTGTATAGAGTGTATCATATGCCTTCTATAGTGAGAAAGAGGAGGAGAATTATAAAATTGTTTGGAGCCATAATTTCATTGGCTGAACTGGTTTCAGATTCCGCAGAGACAGTAAGTGTTGTCTCCAAGGATTTGAAGGAGTTTCTAAAATCTGATTCGGATGAAATCCCAAATAGTTTGAAACAATTGTCGAAAATTGCTAGGTCAGAGGAATTATCCGAGTCGATTATTAGGGTTTCTGAGGCAATGACTGTTGGAATTTTACGGGGTTATGGGGTTGAAAACAGTAGAAGCCAGATTCAAGAAGCAGGGAATTCGAGTTTTACGGATAAAGTTATGGATAAGTTAATGTCTGGTGCTGGAACAGGGTTTGTTTCTATTGTTGTTGGTAGTTTTGCAAGGAATTTGGTTTTGGGGTTTTATGCAAATGGTGAAACTGCTAGAGGGTCTAATGGGAATGGGTATTCGGGCTTGTCTTCCGTGAAATTAAATTCTTCGACATTGCCAAGATGGGTAGATGTGGTATTGGACGATAAACCGAGAGTGTTAATAGCTGATTGTATTAAGACTTTTGTGAGCACTGCAGTTGCTGTCTATCTTGATAAAACAATGGATGTTAATTTCTACGACGATATGTTCTCTGGATTGACTAACCCTAAACATCAGAGTAAGGTGAAGGACATACTGGTTTCTCTCTGTAATGGGGCAGTTGAAACTCTTGTTAAGACATCCCACCAAGTGTTGACAGCTTCAAAATCGAGTTCTGCTTCTGGTTCGACTTCCCCTTGCTCGATTGTTGATCAGAGTGAAGAATTGAGCTCAGAAAATGACAAGGATCTTGAACAGGCTGTGTCTTCGAGAAAATTCAAAGAGACGATCGGATCTGTTGATTTCCAGAGTAGTGGATGGGTTAATAGTGTCTCATCAACATTAGCGGTGCCAAGAAATAGGAAATTTGTGCTTGATGTAACTGGCAGGGTGACATTTGAAACCGTTAAATCTGTGATCGAGTTTTTCTTGTGGAAGGTGTCAGAGTGCTTGAGACGAAGTCTTAATGTAGCTCATGATGGGGCAGTGGTGCGGGGACTTGAAGTTGTCCAATATGTTGGCGCTAAGTCTTCTGTCATTCTTACCATATGTCTCGCATTGTTTTTACATGTATTGGGCAGCACACGAGCCCTGTTGCCTGCATAAATTGATTATGTCTTTTGACATTTGGATGTTCATTGGATGGGGCAATGGAACTTTACATAGCTTGTAACTTCAAGGGAAAATTCATACTTAGCTGTAATACGTAAATGCAATTTCTTGCGTGAACTTCCATGTTCATTGACAATTTTATCTTCTCTGTTTCCTTTTTATGAATTGTATGAATATAGAGTATGTAGGTACATAATGTATTGTCTCATATTAAGCTGAATCAAGATTGTTACTCATTTTAGAGGGATGTTAAACTTGAATGCTTCAAATTGCTTTTGTGGAAGTCTTGAAACAGTTGAGAATGATATTGTTACTCCTAATATATCTGTCCAGTCTTACTCAAGCAAGTTGTTGAGATTTGAGCTCGAAGAGCCGGCCTGCAGAATTGGACCTAACGGAATTTTGGTCTATACCCTTGGCACCATAATATCATATTGGGAGTGAAGATCAGAATTAGAGCTGTTGGGTATGATCACCTTTCGCCATCCATCTATTTATCTTGCTCTTTTTACCTAATTCAGCTCTACTGCTGAAGAAACTGTAACCCTTTTGTCTTGTTGGATCTTTCTTCTCCTCATCAGGGAGAGTAATAAATAGATTCGCCCCTCATGGAATGGTCAAGTTGGTGGTTGAGTAGGTGAGTGTAGAGGTTTTTGGTCACGAGTTCGATTCTCACTACCAACACTTTCTCGATCGAGCTTATTGCACATAGTTTGTCTAGTGCTGTTTACTTGGCTAGCGTAGTTTACAGGCTATTGCGTCAGCCCGTGCACCCGAAATGTAGCGGCTGCAAGTTTCCCCGTCATTATATATATATATATATATATATTCATTGGATTTTTATGCCCAAAATGGTTTCCATTTGCACTCCACGAGGAAAATTATTACCTGAAAGAATTCATTTCGTCAAGAGATTTTTCCTTCAATTTTATGTTCCACATTTCAAAATCTCTTCATGGTATTGTTGATTTCCACCAACCAAACATGTTGAGTATTTTATATTATTCATGGAAGGGCAAATGGAACTAGATCCATCTATTGACCATTTGATTTTTTTCGTACTCCGTTGTGGCGGGTTAAAGAAATGATCTATTAATATATATTAGATGGGAGAGAATTATTCTTACTGGAGTTCCGTGATGAAAACTCCTTGATAGTTAAAAGATAAAAGGTTACGTAAGTGGTAAATCTACTAGTGATGAAGCAGAAAGTTATACACAATTCTTATCTTTAAATAGCATCTTATATATAACGGAGAAAATTTTTAAATTTAGAGAGTAATTTTTTTTATATACTTCAACAATAATCTCTATTTTGATTCTTCATTTTATATTTTTAAACAAATATTTATTGATTATCTTCATCCTTTACTTAATTTCTTTTATATGTTAGTGGTCAATTAATTTAAATATGATTTGAATAATTTAAATTAAGTATTAAAATCTATAGTTTGTTAAATGCAATCATTATAAAGTACGTATGGAGTGACTTTCTATTTTAAAAAGTAAAATATAACGTCTCTTTGAGCTTATTTTTAAACATTACCCCCTAAAAATAAAGTGAGCTTGACTTTCTACATTTGTAGAATCAAACACAACCTGTATTCGTATTTTATCATAATTTCATTTAAGAAAATTGTAGTTTCAATGTTTTCACTACTTCAATTATTTGTATTATATTGAATATTTTAGTTATTGACATCTCAATTACACATGTCAATTGAAAATGAGGGAAAATAATAAATAATTTTTGAAAAGGTAAACAAGGAGTCAAAAATTAAGGATTTTATAGGAGTGCATGAAAAATTTTAAAGCTTCAAATGTAAAGATACTTTCTATCATGACCAAAGTGCTCTTTAAAATAAAGTCTTTTGTAGATGTTGTTATATGCTTGGTAAGCAGATAATTCATCTCTTGTATCATCAACAATTACATTCTTTGGTAAACTTGAAAATAGTTTCAAAATTTAAATATATTTTTCTATTGAGAGTTGACTTGCAATTTCATCTCCAAATTTTATTAAATGGACTTTTAACTTGCAAGATATATGTTTATTTATAAGAAGAATTGGTTTCATGACACGTTGTACACACTTGGCATTCGCTGGTTCGTTTCTAGTTCCTGGAGAATCAAAGAGACCTTATTCTTATTTGAATATTTCAAAAGAATGGTGTAGTACTACGGCTTTTATGTACTAATCTAGGTGACAATGAATTTTAATTAATTTATTGTACGATAAAATTGTGATATATTTAGTTCCTACTTGATTTTTTCTCAACTTCAGTCGATTATCCAACTTTGGATGGAGATGAAGTATTGTGTTCATGAGTACAGCTATTTTTGTGATTTCCTTAAGTTGCCTAGGAGAAACATGATCGAGAGTCTCGAGATAATGAGCCACGACCATGAAACCCAGCTCGGGATAGAATGATGCTTAGAATCCATAGGCCCAAGAGAGCACAACCACCTTGGATGCAATGTAAATTACATAATTCCGGGTGTTTAAATATTAGAATTCAAAAATAAGGGACCACGTTTCATTATTCAACAATCAGGTATGAATATAATAAATATTACCCCTAATTCAATTCCAACCCTAATTTTATTCTCTCTCTCACCCACTCTCCATCTTTCCCGTCTCTTCCTGTCCCTGTGTTACGTCGCCGCCGCAGCACTCGCCACTAGAGACCTTACCCATTTCATTTCAATTGATGACATCGTGTCGTCGCCACCACGTAAGCTGCATTGTGGCAATCTTTACCACATAGCGTGGTAGGTTTGTGCGAATCACCGTGAGTTGCCACCGGGAAACAAATCCACTCACTTACTCCGACGACTCTTCACAGGCGAAGCACCACAACCAGCGTACGAAGTAGAAGCAGCATTGTATAGTGGATTTGGCGGTTGGGGGTGGTTTTGGATGATGGTTTGTGTGATGGTGTTTGTGTAGTGGTGTTTGTATGGTAGCGTTTTTGTGGTTGTATGGTGGATTTGGTGGTTGGGGAAGTTTTTTGGATGGTGGCTTGTGTGGTGGAGTTTGTGTGGTGTGGTGCAGTGGCTATGTTGCAGTGCGATGTAGGTAGTGGCTATGATGACAGTGTAGGCGGCAATTTTTCTGGTGGTGGATGTGCGTGGTTGGCGGCGCTGCACGTGATCTACGAAGAAATCGTGCGTCCTTCTCTCTATTGCCAATGCGAGAAAAAATGTGTGGTTTGGTGAGAATGACATTGCAATCGGCGTGACTTGGTGGTGGTATTTTTCTTATCGGTGGTGGTGGTGGTGGTGTTGGCGGTTTGGAGTGGTGGTGGTGGTGGTGATTTTGGCCTGTGACTTTAAAATTCGGGTGGTGGTGATGTTGGCCTGTGACTTTAAAAAATGTGGGGGTGGTTTTTTTTTGGGTGTTTGGTGGCGACAGTAGATTTGGTTGCGTCGACTTTGTTGACGTTGGTGTTGGCGGTGGCGGTGGTGACTGGGTGACGGTGGTTGCAAGTGACGGTAGTGGCAGTGGAGTTGGTGATGACTGACTATTTGACCTGTGACTTTAAAATTCGATCATCTATGACTAAAAAAGTAATATGTGACTATTAAATTTGAAAATATGTGATCCGTGACTATAATTTTTTGGATTTGTGACCTATAATTTTTTGATCTGTAACCTCGACATAATCTGTGACTTATCAAAATTGTGATTTGTGACCTCGAAAAAATTTGTAACCAATTAATTTGATGATACGTGACCAATAAATAAAATCTGTGACCTATAATTGTGAATATGTGACCATGAATAGTATAACAGTGGCTTTATTATCATTATTTAATAAATATTTTTAATTAATTAGCTAAAACCTAATTTTTGCACTAAAGAAACTTGCAACCTGGATTTTGAATTGGGCATAGTTAATACCTGATTTATGAATTCTTCCCTTGGAAGCATGCACCATCCACGAACTAAACCCGCATCAGAAGAAAGCCCATTATCCAATTTTTATAAGTGGAGATTACATTCATCCATGGTTTTTAACTTCCCAATGTAAAAGTAAGATGTAAAAGTTTTTATTCAAAAATCGGGGGATAATTTATCTAATTAAATATTAATAATAATATTGTAAAATTAAAGTAATCTTCATACCCACCTTACTCACACATCCCCAACTCAATTTCATCTCTCTCTCACTCTCTCTTTCTCTCGACGTCGTACCCTCTTCAATTCAATGTGTGCACTGGCAATAGTGCACAGCAAGGCAATTAGCTGTTGCTCGCAGTGGTGCGATGTTAGGAGTTTTTAGTGGTTTTTGATTAGATATGTTTTGGGCAGTTTGTTGGTGGGTAATTTTCTAATCGTATCTACTATTTAGTTTGAGTTTTTTGGGTGGTGGTTGGTGTTTAGCAAATGGTGGTGGTGGTTGTACAGCTGGTGGTGAGGTGGCATGGCATTCTGTTGCTGACGTTGGTGGAGTGGGTTGGGGTTTTGGATGATTGCGACCAATATATTGGTTATTTTGTGATCTATAACTATGAGATTGGTTGTTGTTAGTGTTGAAGAGAAGGTGAGATTTTAGGTGGTGATTGTGACAAATAAATTATGCTAAATTGTGATCAATAAATAATATTTGACGTTAAACAAATGTGAGATTGTGATTAAATTTGTAATGATGACTCACACTTTGGTCATAAGTCACAGTGCATAGATCACAGATTGTTAAAAAATCAATGATAGCTTTGATATTACTTGTTAAAAATTGAGCCAGTTATTATGAATATTAAAGACAAGATAATGGGCAAAATGAAAATAATAATCTCAAGAACACAAGATTTACTTGAAAATCAAGGTGGGAAAAGTCATGGGCAAAGACGAAAAATTCACTATATCAAAAGTAAGGGGTTATAATATGTTATACGGGATCTCACAAGACTCTTCCCCGATATCTCTATTGCGAGTCTCTTTCTATTAACCTGGATCACCCTCTGAGTCGATCAAATAAATATGTATAATACACCGGATGTTTATAATACGAGAATCCGTAACATAATAAAAGAATTAATACAAACAAGAGTCTAACGTGAGATGAATTTCTATTACAATAGGTTAAACAAATAATAGAGTATTTAAGTTAAAATAGGAGAGAAAAATTGTCAAAATAGAGAAACCTTTTTTAATGCATCTTTGACTCCTTCAACATATCTTCAAATCTACTACCAATTCCTAATATTCCTCAAATAGTATTTTTAATTAAATACTGAACAAAAATTCGAGTCGCACCGAAATTCTAACAA